GCAGCTTCCGCGGGAACCCCGACGGCAGCGTCCGCACGTCGCGACGCCCATGTCGGCACGCCTCTTGCGAGGATCGCGCCCGCTTTCGGCTCTTCTTTTCCTTCCTCTTTGCCCGCGCACTCCAAAATCCAAGGCTGCGGGCGCAGCGCAGCGCGGAGTCCCCGCGACGCGCGCTGGTCGCCCCGGGCGGGGTCCCAGCGACGCGCGCGGGTCGTCCGCTGCGCGAAGCAGAGAGAGCTGACTAGCTAACTGGCTGGCTGATAGCGGGCAAGTCTCTGACCGCTGGGCAGAGCGACGACGGGCGAACGAGGCGCCGGGCCCCCCGCAGCACGGAGTTCCCGCGACGCGCGCTGGTCGCCCCGAGGGGTCCCAGCGACGCGCGCGGGTCGTCCGCGGCGCGAGGCCAAACAATTAGTCGGGCAGTCGAGAGAAGGCGCGGCTCGGGGGAGACGCTCCTCAGGTCAGGCCTCGCGGATGAACTCGGTGAAGCCGAGCTCCCTGGCGAGGGCCGTCGCTTCCCTCCTGCACCGCTTCGTGCGCGCCGCAAACTGCTCCAGCTGCTTCCGCAAGCCCTGCGGCGGCCCTGCCAGGAAGAACTCGATGCGCGGCGCCCGCATGAGCAGGAGGTCCTCGTGGCGCGTGGCGCGCGAGAGCAGCACGTAGAGCTCCAGCCACCAGTCGTCGTCCTCCTTCTTGCCGTTCCCTACCTCGTGGCGGCCGCAATCCAGGATCACGCCTGGGCGACGTCGACCGAGGGAGCAGCGCGCCGGGCAGCCGACGGCCCAGGGCGAGAGTCCACAGGACCGAGAGATGGTCTGGCCGCGGACTGCTCGCGCCCCGGAGGTCTGGCCGCCCCCGGAGCGCCGTTCCCCCGCCCCGTCGCCTTCGCGCACGGTGCGTCCCTGGCACGCCACCGTGGTGATGACCCTGCCGTGCGAGAAATGCGGGGGGTGTGCCGAAATGGGTGGGGGTGACGCATGCGGGCGGCGGCACTGGGCCTTCGGTGGAGCTCCCTATGGAGCCACGAAACGTGTGAGGGGTGTGCCGAAATGGGTGTGGGGGACGCATGCGGCCGCGGGCACTGGGGCCTTCGGTGGAGCTCCCTATGGAGCCACGAAACGTGTGAGGGGTGTGCCGAATGGGTGTGGTGTGGTGTGGGGGACGCATGCGGCCGCGGGCACTGGGGCCTTCGGTGGAGCTCCCTATGGAGCCACGAAACGTGTGAGGGGTGTGCCGAAATGGGTGTGGGGGACGCATGCGGCCGCGGGCACTGGGGCCTTCGGTGGAGCTCCCTATGGAGCCACGAAACGTGTGAGGGGTGTGCCGACATGGGTGTGGGGGACGCATGCGGCCGCGGGCACTGGGGCCTTCGGTGGAGCTCCCTATGGAGCCACGAAGCGTGTGAGGGGTGTGCCGAAATGGGTGTGGGGGACGCATGCGTCCGCGGGCACTGGGGCCTTCGGTGGAGCTCCCTATGGAGCCACGAAACGTGTGAGGGGTGTGCCGAAATGAGTGTGGGGGACGCATGCGGCCGCGGGCACTGGGGCCTTCGGTGGAGCTCCCTATGGAGCCACGAAACGTGTGAGGGGTGTGCCGAAATGGGTGTGTGTGACGCATGCGGGCGCGGGCACTGGGGCCTTCGGTGGAGCTCCCTATGGAGCCACGAAACGTGTGAGGGGTGTGCCGAAATGGGTGTGGGGGACGCATGCGGCCGCGGGCACTGGGGCCTTCGGTGGAGCTCGCTATGGAGCCACGAAACGTGTGAGGGGTGTGCCGAAATGTGTGTGGCTGACGCATGCGGGCGCGGGCACTGGAGCCTTCGGTGGAGCTTCCTATGGAGCCACGAAACGTGTGAGGGTGTGGGGGACGCATGCGGCCGCGGGCACTGGGGGGGGGGATTGGCTCCACCTGGGTGAGGGGGCCGGGGGCCCTTTGGGTTGGAGCTCCCTATGGAGCCACGAAACGTGTGAGGGGTGTGCCGAAATGGATGTGGGGGACGCATGCGGCCGCGGGCACTGGGGCCTTCGGTGGAGCTCCCTATGGAGCCACGAAACGTGTGAGGGGTGTGCCGAAATGGGTGTGGGGGACGCATGCGGCCGCGGGCACTGGGGCCTTCGGTGGAGCTCCCTATGGAGCCACGAAGCGTGTGAGGGGTGTGCCGAAATGGGTGTGGGGGACGCGTGCGGCCGCGGGCACTGGGGCCTTCGGTGGAGCTCCCTATGGAGCCACGAAACGTGTGAGGGGTGTGCCGAAATGGGTGTGGGGGACGCATGCGGCCGCGGGCACGGGGGCCTTCGGTGGAGCTCCCTATGGAGCCACGAAACGTGTGAGGGGTGTGCCGAAATGGGTGTGGGGGACGCATGCGGCCGCGGGCACTGGGGCCTTCGGTGGAGCTCCCTATGGAGCCACGAAACGTTTGAGGGGTGTGCCGAGATGGGTGTTGATGATGATGATGATGGGAGGGGGGAGGAGGCAGCGGGAGGAAGGAAGGAGGGAGAAC